CATTCTGGTCCTCCTTATGCCAATGGTAAAATTCATTTAGGTCATGTGTTAAATTTCCTGATTAAGGATATTATTGTTCGGTTTCAGGCTAGCCAAGGAAAATATACTCCTTTTTGGTTGGGTTGAGATACTCACGGATTACCGATTGAGCACAAAATGATTCAAGTCCACCAAGGTCAAAAAGTAAATTTTCGTCAGGTTTGTCATGATTTTGCCTTAGAGCAGGTTCAATTACAAAAAGAACAGTTAAAAAAATTAGGACTTTTCACTAATTATGAGGAGCATTATATTACCTTAGATAAAAAATACGAGGCGGAGCAAATTAGAGTTTTTGGAGCAATGGTTAAAAAAGGTTTAATTTATCAAGGATTTAGACCTATTCACTGGTCTTGCAGTCATGAAACTGCTCTGGCCGGAGCCGAAATAGAATATTACGAAAAAAAAGATACTTCGTTTTATTTTAAAATTAAGTTGGCAGGAAGTTTTTTAGGGAAAGAAAATATTAACCTTTTAGTTTGAACTACTCAACCTTGAACTATTCCAGCTAACCAGTTAATTGCCGTAAAAAAAACCGCTACTTATATTTTGGTCGAATGTGAGGGGGAATATTTGCTAATGTTGGAAAATCAACTTAATTTATTAGAAAAGTGAGAAAAGCCTGCAAAAGTAGAAAGGAAATTTTTAGGAAAAGAATTAATTGGTAAGCATTATTTTCACCCTTATCGAAAAGATAATAAAGGATACATAGTGTCGGGTGATGAGTTTATTCAGGAAGAAGAAGGGACTGGTATCGTTCACCTCGCACCGGCTTTTGGAGCCGAAGACTTTATGGTGGCTAAACGGGAAAAATTAATAATTGAATGTCCCATGGAAGCAAATGGAATTTTTAACCAAAAAATTGGAGTTTCAGAATTAATTGGTAAGCATTATTCAAAAGTAAATGATTATGTGATTGCTGACCTAGAAAAAAGGAATTTAGTGGTTCGGAAAAAAGTAATTAAACATAGTTATCCCCATGACTGGCGAGATAAAACCCCCTTGGTTTACCGCTTAACTAAACAGTGATTTATTAAAGTAGAGGACATCAAAAAAGAATTATTAGAAAATATTAAAAAAGTGGAATGGTATCCCAACTGAACCCAAGAAAAAATGTGGCAAGCCATAAACTCACGCGAGGATTGGTGTATTTCTCGACAACGAAAATGAGGAGTGCCAATTCCGGTTTTATATAAAAATAATGAAGCCATACTTAATGCCGAAATTATTGATTATGTGGCTGAAATAGTGGCTAGCAGTGGTTCGGATTGTTGATTTGATGGGAGTATTTTATCACTTTTGCGGGAGAAATTTCCTAATTTAATAGATAAAGAAACAGTTTTAGGACAAGATATTATGGATGTTTGGTTGGATAGTGGAATTTCGCATTGGTGTGTTTTGAGAAAAAGTAGGAATTAATTTCTACAAATTAAAGTATATAAGATACAAATATTATTAGCCAAAATATCAAAAATCCTGTGTCTGCAATTTAGAAGAGGTATGTTAACCTTTAATCCGCTTTCTTACTCTTTGGCTTTTGGTTTTCTTTTCTTGTTTATTCTTCATGTTTTTGCCACAACTATTTTTATCCCAGTAGTCTCCTTCAAAAACATTTCTAAACTCCCTAGGACTGTCTGTTTTTTTGTGGCCTCTTTGCAGTCCATTAGCAACAATGTCGGCCAATTGTATCCCTGGGTAATCCTTTGAATTTAAGCCAATTGATACATTTAACTTTACCTTTTCGCTTAAATTTATAGGCGGCTCTTCCAGCATCTGCACAATTTTTTCCTTAATTTCTTTTTTAAAATTCTCCTTATCAATATAAATATTAAGTATAAACTTTTCATTATTTTTGTTACAACAATTATCTATAAAACCGCCGAAATACTTAATTATTACGTCATTAATTAACCATTGCT